ACACCACTGAACTGGAATATCCAACTGATGCCTAAAACTGCTACTTCATTTTTTCTATTTATCATTTTTCTAGTTATTTTTTGTAGCAGGGAAATTAAAAATATCAAGGGAAAGGAAGGAAAAAGGATAGATGTTCACTAGTTGCAGAAAGTTAGAGAATGTTACTAACTGATGCTTGATTTTAAGAAAATTAAAACAGGAATTTGGTGTATTACAATTGGCAGTTACTAGATTATAATCAAATCAGAACTAGGCATCTTTGGGCAAAGATGAAAACATGAAGAATTGTTTCTGATTGAATATCAGTCACTGGGTTCACAGCTATTGATAGAATTACCCCATATCTTGTTTTCTATCTCTTAAGAAGTTTCCAGCTGGGTTCCCAAATGAAAATAATATGAAATAGTATCAAATGTATATTTTGAAAGATTATTTCAATAATCTTTCCTAATAATGTACCTAAACATACAAAAGAAGTATCAACAAAACACCAATAAGATTATACATTTTGTCACAATCTGTCGAGACACTTTTCTCCTTTGGAAAAAAATTGGTGTGCTTTTGTGAGAGAGAGAGAGAGAGATCAGCTGTTGCTTTCAGCAAATTAAGCTCATTTAAAAATCCTCAAATCCTGTTATTTTGTGTTGGCTTTGGTGTCTTCTTTCTAAAATAAAACCTACTAAAAACATAGCTCTTTAGAAACAAGTGAATTGGAAATCGTCAAGGTTGTTTGGATGCCATGCTGAGTAAGCTGGATGAGAGGATGTTGTATTGCAAAGACAGGAACATGGTAGTTTTAGGTATTCATATAGATCCTGCCATGAGCCAAATGGCTTCTGATATGTCACTTCACTTCCCACTTTTTGTAATGGGGCAAGCAAACGTTTTGGTCATTTTTTTGTCATGTAAAATGAGCTCTACTAGAATACTTCACACATTTTTTTGAGAAAATTCAATGAGAAGCTACATATTCACACTGAGAAGTTTCAATGGTTGTTGTTGACCTCAGCCTGTTAGGAAAGAATGTGTGACTTTTTAAGTGACTAAATGACAGAAGGAATAAGACAACTTAGAGGCAATAATTTTGCAGCCAAAAAATGGTGGTATCCTCCCTTTTCTAAAAATCACTGATAAAAAGAAATAGATTTAAAATTTCTAAGGCTGAAAACTTCATAACTTTGATCATTGATAGTTGAGCTCTTCCCACATTCTTCATGGTTATGTTTTTGAGGTTTGTTTGGGAAAACGAATCACACATAAATCTTGCAAAATACATCAAGCAGTTATTTAACAAGTGCCCTGAGCTCACAGAATGCCCAGGGCTCTTCTAGTTCTGACAGCCACCCAGGGGACTTGGCAACAGACCTTCACAGTGAGATGAAACATATTCCCAAGACAATGTTTAAAGAGCAACCTATCTACAAGTACAAATCAATAGCCTATAAAATGAGAGCCTAGGTGCTGAAGGGATGCTTTGGAAAGCTTTCTTCAAAGCAATAAGATAAACTAAAAGGATGGTAGTGTTGTGCAAGAGGAGAGATCACGGATACCGAAACTCAACTGATGAAGAGCTCTTAAGGCCAGAACAAAACCAAAAAGACAGAGTTTGAACATGTGTGCATTTCTTCTAATTTTTCAAATTTTATTTTCATCTTGTTTTGCTTTAAATTCATGTGTAACATTATTTGATTTAAAACTCTTGTATCCCATACCTCCTGCCTACCATGGAAGCTTTTTCTAACATTGTCAAATATTTATTTAAAAATATTTAAGTTAACATTATTTAGCTATAATTTATAAAATAAAATGCATTCATTCAGAATTCATTTTTAAAAGAATAAAACTTTCTCAAAAACAACAAGCATTAAAAATAATTTCTTTTAGAGTACTAATTCCAGCAATACCAAAGGCTCAAAAGATATCATAGAATGAGAAAATAGAAGAAAAGCCATTTGGAAATCATGTTGATTTTAATAAAAATTACTTAATTTCTAAGAGTATTTTTCCATAAGATTACCCCTTGCTTTTTTGTTGTTGTTTTCATTGTATTCTCATTCAGTAACATACTTAGAGATAAGTGAAAACATTAATTTAAGCATACATTTCCATAATGAGAATTTGTATTAAGATACAGTTTCAAACCAATGTCATGGAATTTGTACATTTTCTGACCACATCATGGGCTTATCTTTGTAGAGACTACATGTATTTAAGTTTATGTATCATTTTTGAGAAAACAAATGGAATAACAATACAGAAACCTCCCACCCACCACATGGAAGGACATGGATTATTGTCTTGCATAGTTTAGATGGATAGCTTGTCAGTTTGAATGCAATGTATACCACAAAGGATTTTATTGTGATTCCTTATGTACAGCAATTGGAAGGTAGTGGATCTGTGTTGGATTCCAGAAATAATAATGTACTATCAAAATTTAATTGATTTGAGTCAAACATATTGATGCACATGCCTGTAATCCCAGCACTTGAGAAGCTGAGGCAGGAGGGGTGTGAGTTCAGTCAGCCTGGGTTACAAAGCAAGTTTGAAGCAGTCTTGGCTACATAGGGAGACCCTGTCTCAATAAAACAGCAGCAACAAAACCCCCAAACCAAAAACAGCAACAATCTAATTGGTTGAATTTTCTGATTAGTTTAAACTCAGCTAATGAGCTTATGGAAGAAGACTTAAAAGTGACACAAAACCATCACATCCAATGAAAATCTTGTATGTGTTAGCTATATAAATTGATCTTCCAATATTGTAGCCTTATTTTGGCCAACTGTGCTGCGCTCACTGACAAATTCATGAAATTCCTGTTCTAGATTCATAGTGGATTGGCTGTAATATAAAACTATTTATTTTGATTTTTCCTAATATTCTTGCCTTTCTTGATTATAAGAAAATTATAACAATCAGAATAGAATAGATGGTAATCTTTTCAGAGAGAATTTGTATCTTTTAATTTTGTTTCTGTAGTACCTAATCCCATGCCCAGAATGATAGAGGTGCTCAAATAAAAGGTGCAAAATAAGTGAATTACTGAATACATCAGTGATCAATAGTCAGTGGAAAGGCATCTCTACTGGAAAAAGAAATACATAGAAACTATCTCTTCTGAGAAAGGATCAATAGCATCACTTCTATATAATAAAATAAAGTCATTCTGTAAAGCAAGTAGCTATGTTGACTTTTTACTTTTTTTATACTAAATAGAAAACCAAAGTATGAGAAGTAGTGTTAGATCACAGATGATTGCTTCCAAAGCAAGTAGTTTTAAAAAATCTTCGCTTCAAAGCAAGTTTTGGAGTTTGGAAATTATGCTTATGAATGCTTTTCTGTTATCTGAATATGGCTTCTTCACTATTGTGCATAGCCTTCAGTAGACCAAAAAGATTGCCACTCATGAAAACAGGTTTGTTTTATAAAATGATTAACTTGATAATTTTCAGAGTGTTCTCAAAAAGATAAGTAGAAAATTTTCTGGCTTAAATAAAAGCAATTTGCATGTAGAAGCTGGCAAGAGTTGTAGGTTAATAAGTACCAGGGCTTGGATCAATTAGAAAATTTTAGATGTGTGTGTGTCTGTGTGTGTCTATTTGTGTCTCACCATTAGCATCAAGATGACACTAGTGTTTTAAGTCAAAGCATGGACACTTAATACTCAACTACCCATTTCTCTGTTTCTTTTTAAAGTTATTTTGAAGTGTTGTATTTAATCTGGGGAATGTGCTTGACTTTAATCCCTTGCCATTTTAGTATACTTGCTGAGATGGTACAGTAGGCTCTCTCACTGCTGTGTCTTTTAACGAAGTATCCACATTGACTTTTGGGAATGCTTAATGTTCTCATCACAGGTGCATGAGGATACATCATTTTGTAGCTTGTTAAATCAGTTCTTGCACCTGTGTCCATGAATCTGCAGAATGTAATTACTCACATGAACCCCTCCCTACAGGTTTAAACTAACCTTTCAACCCTTTCTGTATACTACTTTGAAAATGGTAATAATGGTAATAATAAATTTGTTTTTATATGTGTTACTAAATATGGTTGTTTAGCTTAAAAAATTTAATACTTATTAAAGATTATTCTGGAAAGACTACAAAGCAATTCTGTTTACAAGTACCTTTCTACATTTCTGTGGAATGGAGTTCTTTGTGTGGCAGGTATCTGTATGATAAATGTTGTTGATTGTATGTGGGAATTTCCTTCATTAATGGAAATCAAACATGCTTAGGATGTTTAAGCAACATAATTACTCAGACAGATGTAAACAAATGGCTCATTAAATATATGGTAGATTGCTACCAAATGAGTCATTTATTTGTTTTCTTAGGCTTGGTCATTTCTGTGTGCACAGATTCTGCCCACAATTTGTTTATATTACTTACTGCCTTGCAGTCTATATCTTTGATATGAATAATGGTTATTCAACTTGCAACACCTCATGCAAGCCCCTCGAAGGTATTTCTCACATTATCCTAGAGAGTTGACCCAATCTTTATAATAGAAATGCTGACAATGAAGTGTCAGAACTCACAAAGGAAACTGTCCTTGATGAATTTGGCTCCCACTGCTGACTGACTTTGCACTGTTGTAACTCACTGTGCATACTGAGAGTACTGAGTATACCTGAGAATACTATGGATAGAGTCAGAAGTACTCTGGCTACGCCAACTGGTCCCCTCCTCCACGAAGGAGAGGAAGAAGTATGCACTGCAATATGTTTTAGTTTTAATATCAATAATAATTATCAATACTGACAGCTTAAGTGTGTCAATAATAGCACAAAAAGTAGCACACACTCTGCAAAAACACCTCAAGCATAAACTTCAATCTTCCAGTTTTATGTTTATCAGTATCCTGAGTGATGTTTATAGCCCCTCACACACCTCTTTATGATTCCCTTATTGATTCAGAAGTACTGATGCCTCCTAGTCCTAGGACACGGTTCTCTATTTTTCAATTAAAATGTAGAAATATCTTGTTTGTTGCAGGTATGTTTCAAGCACTTGGCTTGTGGGACTCTGAGAGATGCTGCTGCCCATGACATGTTGGAATTATCATGATCAACCACTCAGTTTGGATTTCACCCAGTGGCCAAGAGCTTTGTGTGGTAGACAGCAAGGGCTGGATTTTTAAAAAAAGTAAACCAGGTAAGGTTCAAGGGAGACATTTATCACTCGCTCTAAGGGCTTTATTGTACTGCCAAGATGTATTGAATAATGTATAACTATTCTATTTGTTTTCTAGTTCCACTGATTAAGTTGTTGAAGAATGAGGCACCCTTGTTTTCAGGAGAATGTATATAATAATAATAGAGTCCTTTTTCTCTCAAGAGAAGAGAGGGGCTATTTTAAGATATACATAAAGCAAGTATGAGAATAGTATAGGTACTAGTTTAGTGCAATAGTCCAAAATTGCAAGTTATAAAGATTTCCTTTTTAACTACTCTGAACTCTGATGTCATAGACAGTTGTATTTTTGAGGGAAAGTGTTGCTTTTAAATGTTTACATTTTACACAATATAAATATATGAGTGTCAATTCATTGCATATGATTTTAGAATTATGCTTAAAGCTACTCCAACTCAGAAAATTATACCATTTTCTGTCTTTCATTTCTTTGAAGTATCATTCTAAATTATATTCGCATATTATTTTAAATGGTGGCGATGTCATACTCTTATTAGTGTGATGCCATGAATTTAAAATATGAAACTCTTATTCAAGTCTTCTTTCACCTAATTTTTCTATTTCATTCGGGAAGTTGTTCTCAATTTTATCCACAATTTTATCAGATCTTATTTTTTCTTTAACTCTCTTCCTCCATACAACATAATTTAAACAGTCAACAATTACTTGGAATAACCACAAATTATATTCTTATCTTCTGACTTTAAGCCCACCAAAATTTTTATAGGTTTTTTTAATTTAAAACAAAGTAAGGTTTTCTTTAGGTTAAAGTATAGAAATGGCAAAAAACAGAAGTAAAATTTATTGATTTAGAAAACAGGTCAGATTGTTCTATAAGACTAATGTTTGAACTGTTAAAATTGTTTTTTTTTTTTACAAATATAGCATTTTTTTACTTTCTAAAAGTGAAATCAATAGTCAGTCACTGCATTCTAGTCTAACATAATTTAAGGATTTCTAAAGTGTTTGAAGCCCAGTAATTATCTAAAGTTACAAAACATTCCTTCCTCAATGACTAATTTGTCTATAAGATGATATCGTAAAAGTTCCAGTCATAAATTTAAAATTTTTTGGAAATAATATAGATCACCAAGCTCATGGTAGAAATCCTCATTTGGTAAACTATGCTGCTCAATAAACTTCTCTTCTTTTTAGTGACAAAGTGTGTTACCCACAGTTAAAAGAATTTTTAGTAACCTGTAAATAAAAGGAAAATCACAATTCAGGATTCATCGTTGGAAGAAAGTTCAATCCAATTCCATGCTCCAAAGCATTGTATCTAACACATAATTATAGCAAGAAAACTTTGTGATAGACTACCATAGTTTTATGTTTATAAGTTTTAAGTGATGAATCCAAAATAAAGTTCATCCTGATTATGTTTCACTATTTTCAACAAAATTGGGCTGCATGTCAAAACCTCAGTATTCCAAACAAGAAGATTAAAAGGGGAGGGATGAAACTGAGTCTATTTTAAAGGTACATAATGATGATTACGTGACAATGCAATTAGTAATCATCTTGTCACCAAGGAAGGACTTGTCTCTATTTGGGAGAAATTTATTTTTATTCTTTAAAATACTTTCTCTTTCTGTACTGTGCAAGTCATCAATTTGGGGAAAGTATACAATGGGTAAGTTTGGTTCAGATATGATAAGAGGACACAACTTCTCAAAGTCTTTTGAAGTGAATATCTTGTTAATTATAAAATATGGAGATAGTACATTCAACTCTATGAAAATATGTGATTTAGAAGTATACAATGGGACATAAAGATCTGACAATTAGTTGTATGTTTTTAGTTAAAGATTAACTATTTTTAAATGAACAGAAAATTTATAGATTATGGTGTTACCACGTATATGAGTTTTAAAATCTTTTTTGCTCTGTTCAATGAATGCAAGTAGCCTTTTCAATGGTGATATATCAGTGTAAAGTAAAAAGAGTATTAAGGATTCCCAATTCTGTTTCTCGGAGGTTTATAACAAAGCCATAAAAATTTGCACTCTTCCTAAGCTTAGAAGCATTTTTTTTTCTTTCTGAAAACATTTTAAGCATAGGTTTGCCTAGCTCAGGATTATATTACTGTATGCTCACAGAGAGAAGCAATATTAAACTGTAAAGACAGGATAATGAGAAATAGATATGAAGGCATTTGAGTCTGACAAAGTCTCCTGGCTTAAAAATAAACATGTTTGAAGAATGAAAAGCTTCTCCCTGGGACACAGGGAGAGATGCAAGAAGAGCTGGATGTATAGGAAGTGATGGGCTGGAGTGTTTTGTTTGTACAGATATGGTGATATATGAAATAATAGAACTAATGAAACTTAATCTATATTTTAAAAACAATGATCCTGGAAGGGGTGAAGTGGAGGCAAGAAAGGTGCATGCAGAGAGAAAAGATCAACTAAGGGCCTTTGGTTCACTCAGTAAAAAATGTGTAGTTTCTAGTCTACTACATCATCAATGCCTAGAACAGTTCCTGCTGATCAGTGATTATAACTCTGTGTTAAATGCTGACTAAATGGATGCCTTCAGTGATAAAGATTATACTATGCATTTGCAACTTTTTCTATTTTTAAACGCATTTAAAAACCTCATTACACCCATGTGTGCACACACACACACACACACACACACACACTAAACTAACTGTCTCTCTCCCTTCCTCCCTCCCTCTCTCAGTACTCTCAGTATGTGCTTGAAATTAAACCTCAGATCCTCTTCTTGAAATTTATGCTTCAATTAACATGGGGGCAGCTGCTACACTACTTAATTTCTCTGTCGAGACTATTATCTCTCAGTCTCTATCCTTCCCTTCATTGTTTTATCATCACATCAATCACTATGTTTCATTCCTCGGCAATACAGTATGCATCGCAGGCACATTTTAATGGCCAGAAAGCAAACCTACCCTAGTTGGCATGTACTGAATACTTAAACCTAATTAAGTAGTTCTGCTGAAATTATCACATCTTTTCCATCACAATGCATGCTTGGTCAAAATAATAAGGGAACACTTTAAGGCTATGGAAAAACTGGGGAAGGTAGCCAAAAGAAGATGTAAAACATAAAAAAATGCGTTCTTTGACACAATCCTCTAATGAGCCAGGGCACATTAATACCTCTAGCAGAGGAAACTCTGAAGGCATCACTTTCACTCCAGTTATTTTGTTGGAAATTACTGGTGTAGTAAGGCTCCCTTGTAGTATTCCAGAGTCAGTATATTTTCCATGATTAAGTCATCTGTTTTTCAGAGAAGTTCTCTTATAGTCTAGGAAAAATCCAATACGTTCCCTCTAAATATGCAGACTTAGGGAAATATTAATAGTATGCCCTAAAACATACTTTATATAGACCAGAGTCTTTGTTCTTTAAGACCTTGTTTCAGAGCTCCATATGTATCCATTAAGTGTGTCCAATGACTTACTGAATAAAGGAACATTCATAATCTATGCTCAAAACCAAAATTACAGCTCTATTATTAGCACTAAGAAGCATATCTCTCTTGTTAATAGAACCTGTTGGTATTGGGTTCATTCTGTGCATTGTTAGATTAAGGATGACTTATCCTCTCATGGTTACCAATACTGCCGACACAGCAACAAATTTTGAAATCAGAAAGTGACATATAAGAGTACTCAAGGAATGGGAATATGGAGGACTTAATCTGAAATAATAAAAAAAACAAGAAGAAAGAAGAAAAATATTTATTAAGTGTCTTCTTGCCTTTATAAATAAAGTAAGGTTCTCTTCCACAAGCTATCATAACTTTGGATTTTTACTTTTCATAGACTTCATATACTTAGGAGAAGGAAATAAAGTTTGCCATTTCTGGCTCTTTCCATGCTGTGGAGAGGGTAGCTCTCTGGATAGAATTTGCTAGAATGCTGTTATTCCAGAAAGATACACTTTTCTTTTTGAGGAGGTATAGCAAATTGTGATTGATCTCCAAGTGATCGTTTTTGTACATATTGGCTTTAAGACAAACATGGGTTTGAATCCGAGTTCTGATTCTTACAAGTTATGGAACCTAGGGCAAGCTATCTTTTTGGAGGTTTGATTTCCAATCAATAATATGGAGAAAATAAGTGTGGCCCCATGATGCAATTGTGAGGATGAAACTAGACCATACATATAAAACACTCAATAGAGTGATATATTATGACTAAGTTTTATCATTATTATTATGCAAAATCTACATATGGAGTAAGTCTACCTACAAGTTCACTTGTTTAAGCCAGATGTCAGAATATTTTACCTTTTATCCCAGAAATAAATGAGATAATCAAGGAGAGTGTTTAGCAAAATCCCTAACATTTTGTAAGCATTTAATAAGTGTTAGTTGCTTTGATAGTTATTACTATTATTTACTTTTGTAAGTCTTTTTCTTCTTCAAGCTCTTTTTAAAAGTCTTTATCTGCTTATATCAACAACTTCCTTCTTAGATTGATAAAAAGTCCTGTAAATTATGGTTACCATTGTATCTGAGATAATGCTCTACTTAGCAATCTATTATTGTTCATATTATAGTCATATTGTTGGTTGCTTTCACAATGTGGTATCATTTTCTTTACAACTAAAAATTCTAGAATGGTCTCTCTTAGCAAATTATAGTCTTTAGAATCAATAAAAATCATTGAAATTCACTAAATTAAATATTAACATATATCTTACAGTAGCAAAGAAAACATTCTGATCTATTAGCATAATTCTCTAATTTGGAAATACTAGTCTAAAGCATACTCACAGAGACTGTCTTTGAGAGTCCCTGACATTAATAAAACAGTATCTGTAATTATGCCTTTAACCTTTTTTTTACTACATATATAAGAAGATTGTTATTATACTTGACATGAAAAGTTAGAATTAATATATTTAACATGGTCAAGCAGTACTTTAAAAAAATCTCACAACATGCCATCTGAATGGGAATAAATCAAAGACAATTACCAAAGTTA